TTTTATTTTTATAGTTTTTTATAACAAAAAACAACTTTTGACAGTCTTTATGAAAATAGAAAAAATAGAAAAGAACTCAAAAATTAGAAACGTAGATAAAAATTATTGAAGAAAATGAACGGACTTCACAAGATTTACATTCCGACATCTCCTAAAGAGATTTTTATGTTTTTAAAAGAACCAAACAAACCAATTTCATCTCGAAAATTATTAGTTCAAGGAGAAACAATTGTAATTTTAATACATTTTGTGGTGTCACCTAAAAGTAGTTCGTATCAATGGTTTTGCCAAACTAATCCAGTTGTTGATTTAGTTAAATCATCTAAAATACCTCATTCTACATCTCTTAATGAAGAAAAAGTAAGAAATTTAACTATCGAAAATACTGTCAGTATCTTACCTAGCGATCGTTCTATGCCTCTTAACTCAACTTGGCAACCTTTTATTGATTCGTTATTATCCCCAAGTAAAAATCAGAAAAATGAGCCAGTTTTCTTTTTATTGCCAGACCAGTCAATTTGTTATTTATTACTACAAAAAATAGGAGTTGTTGAACATCTTTTAAATGCACAACTTTGTTTAAGGGTAACTATCCCACCACCATCAGTAGATTCAAAGTATGAATATTATCAAGACACTTTATTTACTGTAAACCAAATCAAAGGTACACCAATTGAATTTTATACTGATATAACTGTAATCGATCCAATCAAAATACGGTCAGTCACAACACAGAGTTCATCAGGGTCGTTTCTTGTTATTACATTAGAAAACACATCAGAAAATGAAATAGTAATATCTAATCTTATCACAACATGTCAGTACGCGTTAGACAAACCTTTCTTACCTTTACCATGTACTTTAAAAGCTAAGGATAAATATACATTTGCTGTTCCAGTAAAAGTACCTATTTCTTTTACAAAAGAGATTAACAAAAAATCAAATCATGTACCGAGAAAACCATTGCCATCTCCTAAAGTTTCTGTACCAACACGTTCCCTTTCTTCATCACCCGAAGTATCTGATAGAATGTCATTTGATTTAAGAAGATTATCAACTAACGCTAAAGCATTACCTAAAATATCAACTCGTTTTGATAAAAGTCAACGACTTTCAACAAGTTCACTTGAACAAACATTACTTGACAGTGATACATCATCATCTAAAAAGTCATCTATTTTATGTCCAAAAGCAGGAAATATTGAACCTATTTCTCCATCAAAAAGAAGAAACAGCCTAACATCTTTTAATGAATCAAGAATAAGTGTTGGACTAACTATTACATACAGTATGGAAGGGATGCTTGGAAATTTATTTGTTGCACGAGAGCTAAAAGCTGATGCACTAAAATATCAGCCAATAACAATGAGAATATCATGTTTGTTTTTGTTTATAATTCAATTTAATAAAAAACAAAGATTTAATTCATCACAAATTAGTTCCTCAAAGAATAAAATGTCATAGAGTATTTAGAGTTGTATTTGAATTAATTTATCAATGTAATTCAGAGAAACATTTAACTTTGTCTATTACAAGCGTTGATAATATTCAATCTCCTGTTTATTGCTTACATCCAACAATTGATATTGGAGTATTTTCACATCCATGCACATCTTCTATTTCTGTCGAATTTCTATCAAATAAGTCTGGACTTTTTACATTTGGTCCAATTCAATTAAAAGATGTTATTTCAGGCGAAATATTTAAAATGGATGATAGTTGTAAAATTTTAATTGAACCGTAAATAACACAAATTTATTTTTATTTTTAATTAATAATTATTAACTATTAACAATTTTATTATTTGGCATACAAATATTAAAGTCAGTTTAGAAGAACAGTAATATTTAAAATTGAATTGTTTATCTTAAATATTACACAATAACAAATCATTATTAACTTCACAGAAATGCCACGATTTTTAAATAAAAATAATCATTACATGAAACAACACAGATTTAAAGAGAATAATCATTATTACAGTGGAATTAACAAACACCAAAAAGGATTTAATACTTGTCACATAGTCAATAGATATCGTCATTTTGAAAATAGACATTGGTACAATTA